CCCGCCACCTTAGGTGTACATGGCTGGCGCCTTAGCCGGTTGAGCTATAGGTGCCGAGCCACACTTCCAGATTTCTTAAAGATTATCCCAAACCCGGAAACTCAGGCAATTGAATTGTTCGCATAATATCTAAGTAAGAAGCAAAAAGTTATTTTACTGAAAAAAAGAGAAAAGAATACGGGAAGGGAGCAATTGGATACCGTGAAAAGAGATGACTTTTCAGTGACTTCACAGGGGAGGTGAGAAATGGGATAGTAGCTGGAGAGAGAAATTAGGTCAAGAGGAATTATTTTAATATGGGAGACGCCACGGCGCATATCTATGCTGATGGAATGGGCTCTTCTGTAATTTCTTTCCTCCTTGACTTTGTCCATTCCGTCCCTAGCTTCTCTAAATTATTTAGGGCTCAGTCCCTGTGCCTCCTCTTCCCTGAAGCTTCCCAGCTTTCCTGAGCCACAAGTGGCAAGGGCTCTTTCTCCCTACCTCCTGATTCTCACAGCACCTCTTGGAGGTAGCTTACATTTCTAACCAGCATCTTACAGTTGTTTGCCCACCAGTTCCTTGACAATCGCTCTGTATCTTGCCCATTTAGTATCCTCAGCCTCCTCACTCTCATCTCCCACCCAGGCTGAACCCTAAGGCTGCTTGATAAACATTTATGGAATGAATAAGTGAATTCCAGGGAGACCAGCTTGTGCAGGCTGGCTCAGGGATCTAGAATAGCCATAGTATAAGCAGTGTACAAGGTCTGACAATTAGGTTTGCCAACTCATCCTAGAAAAAGTGTTACAGACCTCATTGCTGAAGGTCACTACTATGGTGACCTTCGAAGTACTCCCCTTGGAAAGATATACACTGATGCCAGCACCTAGTCCACCCTACAAAGCAATTTTGAAATTCTTTCTGGAGTGGCCATCAGAACAGTTATCATATTACAGTTAATGACCTCATGAATGGCATCAAAATGTCTTCCTTTCAATATTTCCTTTATCTTTGGTTAAGGAAAAATTTACTGGGGGCCAGTTCAGATGAGTAAGGAGGGTGTTCCAATACAGTTATTTGTTTAGTGGCTAAAAATTCCCTCATAGATAGTGCTGTGTGAGCTGGTGCATTGTTGTGATGCAAGAGACATGAGTTATTGACCAAGATTTTGAGTTAATATTTTCCTGTTTCTCTGCCAAAGTTTGTTTGGTCTGCTATGCTTCTCATAGTCAGCCAATGATTGACACACATTTTGATGAAGTTTTGCAATGTTTTCATCAATTTTGCTCATTACTAGCTACCCTGACCTCTCTCTCGCTCTCTCTTTTTTTTTTTTTTTCTACCTTCAAGATGTTTTTCCTGACCTCTCTTTATCAGTGATGCTTTCTCTTCTCTGGAAAAACATTTAATCCATTTATACATTGGTGTTTTCTTCATGGCATTATCCCCATAAACTTGGACTAATGCATCCCTGATTTCACTTCCATTCAAGTTTAACAAGAAATCTACTAGTGTTTGTTTGTTGCTCTAATTCAAACTCCAACATTCTCATGACAGCACACAACAGTAATGAATGCCACTCAGCAAGACAAGGCCACACGTTGACATGAACACAGCTGTGAAACACTCATATATCAAGATTATGAAACCTCAGCCAGTTGTTTGTACATTGCTGCTGATGTAAGTACATGATAGCAAGTTTTTGAGCTTAATTGTTAGGCTTTGTATCTCAGACTGTTCCCTTGAAATAGCCCTAGTAAAGGGTTTTTTTTTTCTTTACATAGGGTGGTCTGAGCAAATAGTTGAAGCAACTGGAAATTTCCTTGAAGATGTATGTTTTCTCTTATAGTTCCTGAAATAAACTGTTGTAACCTACGCTGGAGCACTGAGTTTATCTTATCATTGTAATTTACTTACCATTTGTTATTTAATTTTCTCCTTAACATCTTGAAATAAAACTGATGTTTCATAAAGGGCCTGACCCTTTAGAAGTATGTGTCTCTCAGTTTGAATATCTGATATGGGATTTGACACTGAAGTACCACAATTGCTTTACAAAATAGTAAGGAGGCTTGATACCCGTATATCAGTGGTTAGGGCACTGGCCACATACAATAGGTCTGGAGGGTTTGAGCCTGGACCAGGCCTGCTAAACAACAATGACAACTACAGCACATACAAAAAATAGCCGGGCATTGTGGCAAGTGCCTGTAGCCCCAGCTACTCAGGAGGCTGAGGCAAGAGAATCACTTGAGCCCAAGAGTT